AAAGCTGAGTGCCGAAGAATTGATGCTTTTGAAGTGTGGTGTTGGAGAAGACTCTTGAGAGTCCCTTGGACTGCAAGGAGATCCAACCTGTCCATCCTAAAGGAGATCAGTCCTGAATGTTCACTGGAATGACTGATGCTGAAGCTGAAACTCCAATACTTTGGCCACTGATGAGAAGAGCTGACTCATTTGAAAAGACCCTGATGCTGGGAAAGACTGAGGGCAGGAGGAGAAGGGGACAGAGGATGAGATGGTTGGATGGCGTCACCAACTCAATGGACATGAGTTTGAGTAAGCTCTGGGAGTTGGTAATGGACAGAAAAGCCTGGTGTGCTGCGATTCATGGGGTCACAAAGAGTCAGACACAACTGAGTGATCGAACTGATCTGAACGACATAAACAGCACTGAGTGATCGAACTGATCTGAATGACATAAACAAGTGTAAGTCTTCGCTGGGCTAGTTTACCAGCCAGCTATGCAGCTTAAAGTTTGTTCTCCTGGACTAGTGTGTTTCTTTCTTGTTGTTTCATTCTTGCGATTACTAGGATTAGCTGAATAAAGGTGGGGGAATTTGAGATGGGACTGACAAAAAGTTTGGTTGTACTTTATTTTGACTAGTTAGTGGCTTATTTACAACCTGATGATATGAGAGCTTCTGTTAACCATTATAGCTTAGGTTGTCCAAAGCAATGGACCATGTATGGCTCAGGTAACTTAGATTCAGCTAGGATTCAGAGGTGCTGCATGGCCTATGCTCTTTGCACATGAACTTTCTCAGAGACCCAGGTGGCTGCCTGATTAAAGCAGAGCACCAGGGCAGAACTTGTGTCTCCATGGTGTCAAGGTGATCCGGTCCATGAGCAGGGTGCTTTTCTACCATGTTCATTCTCAATTTGCTCAGGCATTGGTTAATGAAATCAGTCTCTCCCCTGGCGTTTGCCTTTCCAACTAAACCCGACACACCAGCACAGCCTCTAAATTTTTAAAAAAATATTATTTTATGCTGCTTGATATGTTTCTAATATTTTCTTATTGAACTTCACATTTCTTATTAAATTTAACCCTAGATATAACTATGCTTTTATAATTAATGTACATTGGAGGATAATTACATTACGGTATTATGATGGTTTTTGCCATACACCAACATGAATCGGCCACAGGTATACATGTGTTCCCCCACCCCCATACTATGTTTTAACTTAATAAAGGTCTAACGGGTTTTCCCAGCAACTTATCTGGGTGTAGCAAGCTATTCCATCTAATCGTAGCAGCCCTGAGGGAAACCTGGAGTTGATGCTCTGCACAACAACTGAATACACACCTCCCTCTTTGAGTTTAGGAGTAAAATAAAGCAGGCAGATCCCAAAGTTCAGAGCCTGAGTTGGTGGAGACAGACTGAGACTTCAAAGTGAGTAATGGGATTAACCAACACCTAGTTCAGGCTCTTTGAGACCTGCTATGAAAAAGAAGAGTAGATTTTCATCATGAAGGAAAGAAAAAAATGAGGCCTAGAAAGTTGAATTTCTTAAAATGCTTCTGAAAAAAGGAAAAGGTGGAACAATGAGAAAAGTGGTTAAAACTTCAGTGTGCACAATCATCTACGAGAAGAAACTAAAAGTCTGAGAGAAAAAGAAGACAGACTTAAGGAAAGACTTAAGGAAATAGAGTAGCCAGTCATATCTGAGACACTAACAGCAGGAAAAAAAGTTTTAGATGAGATAATAAAAGATTAATTCAAGATTCCCTAGGGCTTGTGAATATTGTTGAAAGAAGACTGGGATGACCAAGTGTTTTACCCATCGCATGTTAATTCAAAGTTTATTTGTGTTTGGCTGAAACAAGAGTGACAAAATGTGAATTACAGATGAGAAGTTAGAACTATAGAAGATTGAAAATTAGCTTAGACAAGGAGAGTCTAGGAGATGGTCTAGTTGAAGTAGTCATGGCTATGGAATTCAAGGGGACAAACATTTAGCTCTTGTTATGGCTGAATAATATTCCATTTGTGTGTGTGTGTGTGTAGGAGCTGGGATAAAAGGAGCTAAATATATACACACACAGACACCACATCTTCCTTATCCATTCATCTGCCTGTGAACATTTAGGTTGTCTCCATGTCTTGGCTATTGCAAACAGTGCTCCTGAAAACATATGGGGTGCATGTTCTGATGATGGGCATTCTGACAAGTGTCAGGTGGGTACTTCATTATAATTTGATTTGCATTTTAATAATTAGCAATGTTGAGCACCTTTTTCATGTGCCTACTGGCTATCTGCACTTCTTTTTTGGAGAAATGTCTAGGTATTCTGTTCATTTTTTGATTGGGTTGTTTGGCTTTTCTGTTGCTGTTATTGAATTGTATGAGCTGTTTAGAAATTAAGTACTTGGTCACATCATTTGCAAATATTTTCTCCCAATCCATAGGTTGTCTTTTCATTTTGCCTATGGTTTCCTTTGCTGCACAAAAGCTTGTAGGTTTGATAAGATACAATTTGTTTATTTTTGCTTTTATTTCTATTGCCTTGGAAGACTGACCAAAGGCATTGTTGCAACATTGTTACAATTTATATCAGAATGTTTTTAATATGTTCTCTTCTGGGAGTTTTATGGTGTCCTATTTTTAAGTCTTCAAGCCATTTTAAGTTTATTGTTGTGTACTGGTGTGAGGGTATGTCCTGATTTCATTGATTTACACTATCTCCATGTTCTTGGTTCATAAGAAGATGCAGGAGAAATTGGTCAGTTCACCTGTTTTCCTCAGCCCTCTCTCAGCAGTTCTGAGAGTACAGGCAGACTAGCTGCCTTTTCCCTCTGTTGGGAGTTGCCCGACTTCCTCTTCCTGGAACCAGGGCCTCTGTCCTGGTCATGGGCTACTTCCAAGAATCAGACAACTGCGTAACAACAGAAAGTAAAGAAGGTGTAGTGTGGCCTTAAATCAGTGACCTAATTTCATTCTCTGTACCTTCTCCATTCCTCAATAGGAAGCCTGAACACTGAACTACAGTCTGGTTTGCCTTCTCAAAACTTTATGTCAGAAAAAGATTTTTTTTTTTCAAGTCAGGCTGGTTTATCCTTAAAGATGCCTTGGCTGTGATAACCCCAGCACCTTTTAGTACTTATATTCACCACAGGAAAGCATGAAACTGGTACAGAAATCCTCTCTCACACCATAGCCAGATTCACTAGCCCTGTCTGTAAAAAGTCTACAAAAGCTGAACTTACCTGCTTCAGCAACTGATTTTCCACACTGACCGCTGCTCTGTTAGCAAGAGGCAGCTGTGAACAATGGGGAGAGGAAGAGGAACACATATTTTCCTGTTCAACTTCCAATAAAAGTACAAAAGATGAGCAATTATAACAACTTAAAATTTTCAAAAGGCAAAATGGTGGAGGTTCTCATTTTAAGTACAAAGGATTTACTTCTGCAAAGTATGTTTCCTTTCCTGGTCAGTTAGCTGCACTGGTAGTTTGGTAGGTTGGGAGTCTATTTATTTGTCCTGTATGTGAGCGCACACACATGTGCAAGCATGTATGCACTTTTTAGAGGCAATAATGAGGTACAGACTTAAGAGTTCACCTACCTCCATTTTGTTTGTCCTCACTTTCCTTTTTAGATACACACATTGCAGAGTAGTTTCAGTTATTATTCCCCGGAACTTCTGTAAGGAAATAAAAACATTTAGAATGAGAATTTCTCATTGCCGATACCATTTAACTTAAACATATACTTAAGAAACTTGGAACTTGACCTCTAAAATCCAAAATAAATCTACCTCTAAAAATACATATGCTAAATTTTAGAATTCATTACAAACATCCTTACCATAAAGTTATAGTTTTAAAACTTGGGAAATAAATTCCACTTTCTGGCAACCAAATCTAAGCCGATAACTATAATCTGTCAGAAAAATTAGCTGAAACTTGGAAACAGGAAAAATAAATTATTGGGTGATCTGTCAGTGAAGTTCTGGGCCTATACCTTTGATTAGTTTTCTATTGACTGGAGTATTCTATAACTCCATCGAGCAGCAGTTAACTTATGGATTTTCATCTAATATAGATACAAATATTTTATGTCTAGTGGAAAAGATAACTCCAAAATTTAGGACTAACTTTAGGCACCAGTGAGTTAATAATAGTTCGATGTAAAACGAGAAATGAAGTGCTGGTTATTGTGACAAATTGATCAGTGCATGCTTTCTATAAAAGTACCCAAAATTTTTAAAAAGTAAAATGAAATACTGTGTAAGCCAAAAAAATTCACGTGTGCTGCAAGTTTTGTACCCCAACCTAAGGTCTGTTTCTTCTGCCAGCAGAATCTGTGTGCTCCTAACCAACATTAGCTATCCTAACATCACCATTCTTGAGGCGCCCTGAGAGGTCTCAGGAACCCCCACAGTAGGTTCAAATCCCACAGGGCCATCAGCAGCGTTGAGAGGGTAGCTTGGCTAAATGCACACAAGCAGCGCAGCTTGGAATGTGAAATGGTTAAGACACTTAACAGCCAGCCAGGGACCTGACTAATGAGTATTTAGCTAGAACCAGGCATTCACCCAATCCTCTGACACTCTCTGCATGCACATCACATTACATAGCAGCCAACTGGAAAGTACATTTAAGCTGTTAAACTCAGAGGAGGGGTGGAAAAATGTGAGGGAAGGGAAGAAAAAATGCAACATGGGAGGAAAAAGGGAAGAGATGGAGCAAAAAAACGAAGAAAAAAAAGGATTAGGAGCCAGAGAACTGGGTTTCATATCAAACTCTGCTACTAATCAACAACATGTTTAAGGTCTTTACTGCATTGGTAATAAAAAAATATTTCCTTGAAAAATAAAAAATAACAATGTGACTTGGGCCAAGTTATTAACCACTTCATGTCTCAAATTTCTCCTACAGTGAGACTATTAAAAAAAAACAACAGAAAATAAGTTAAGCAGATACAAGATGGAGGAAAAACTTGATAAGGAATAAATTTGCCAGAGAGAGGTTTAGGGGTAATTACACATAACAAACTAAATACAACATTAGTTTCCATTAGAGGGCTAAGAAGAAGAGCTGTGAGAGGATTAAATAATATATGACAACGTCTCCCACAGTACTTGATATAAAGTAGTCAATCAATAAATGTCAATATTTTAAAATTTTAATATACAGGCCTATCAGATTGGTGAAAAAATTTAAGTCTAATATTACTGTGTCTGAGAGAAAGTGGAACTACTGGAACACTTACACACTGTTGCTGATATTAAAAATTGGACAACTACTTTGGAAAACAATTTGGCCTTATCCAATAAAACTGACGGAGCATTTACCCTATAACCCGGCCAGTCCATCTTATGAATATACCCAAGGGAAACTGTCATAACACATCACATGCAAGGATGTGTGCTGCTAGCACTGCTCTCAATGGCAAAACTGGAAACCAGCCAAATGGCTATAATGGTAGAAGAGAGAAGTAACTTGTGGTATGTTCATAAGATGGAAAGCTACATAGTGGTGAAAACGAGTGAGCTAAGTTATACACATTAACAATGTTAAATTTCAGGAATATAATATTTAGGGGGAAAAAACTGCAAAAGAATATATAAAGTATTATTCCACTTATATAAAGATCATACAAAACTATATCATCAGGGATAACTATGTTCAAGGTAAATCTATAAAGAAAAACAAGGGAACGAAAAATACAAAATTCAGGACAGAGGTAGGGAAAGGGAGGGGAAGTGGGATGGAAAAAGGTTACTGAGAACTTCAAGGTACACTTGTGCTCATGGTGTTATTCTTTACAACTTACAATTTGTTATAAACTTTATATCTATTCAACATATGACAATAACAAAAGAACTAAAAATTAAAGTGAACATGTTGGTGGTGGTGGCTGGGTCACTGAGTTGTGTCCGACTCTTGTGACCCCATGGACTGTAGCCTGCCAGTCCATGGGATTCTCCAGGCAAGAATACTGGAGTGCGTTGCCATTTCCCTCTCCACGGAAGTGAACATATCAGATAGGAAATACTCTTCCCCTCTTACTCAGGAAAGTCGTTTTTAAATAATACTTATTAAAAGAGTAGGCCCAATTCAGGTTATTACACTAAAATTTTTATTTTGAGATAATTTTAAACTTACAAAAGAGCTGCAAAAATAGCATATAGAAGATTTCCATACATTCTCCACCCACCTTCTTATATTAGTATCTTATATAACCTTAAAACAATGAACAAACTAAGAAATTAACCTTGGTGTAATACTATTAACTGAAGTATGGAAAATATTTATTTATTTCCAATTCTTCTCACTAACGTCCTTCTGCTGTCGTTTCAGGACCTAATCCAGGATGCCATGTTACATTTACTTGTATACCTCTTTCAACCTGTGAGTGTTCCTCATTCTTTTGTTTTTCATAATCTTGACCGTGTTGAAGGTGACTGGCCAGCTCTCCTCTAGAGCGTGCCCCAACTCGAGTTTGGGGTGCCCTTCTCACTGTGTCATATCAGGGGGTACATGCTGTCACATGTACTCCTAGTGATGTGAACCTGGAATGCTTAGCTAAGCTGGTGTCTGCCAGAACTTCCCACTATAAACCTACTATTTTCCCCTTTACAATTACTAAAAATCTGGGAGGGGGAAACCAAAACATTTTAAAAAGAAGACTGAAAAACAGCAGAGTCATAAACGAGTCATCAAGGAAAAGTCAAGAAATAATAATACCAGCCTCTATAAGACATAGTTACAGGAACAAAAGCTCTTTCATTTAGACATGAGAATCTAAGGGTAGAAATGAAAGGTCCCACTTTGAACCGATAACCTCCAAGCTGCCTAGACTTTGAAATGAACTGCCTAACATAGAAATGGGAGGGATGGTGGAGTACTGATCTACCAATCTATTAGAGTTCCAACTGGCATCACACTGCAAACCAACTTCAAGTTCCCCCAAGCCACAGCTGTGATTCTGTACTGCCAGCATCCTGTACCCTCCTCACACTTATATATAAAAACTAGCGAATTTAAGAACTGCAAAGTATTAGAGAAAGTCTTTATAATTAGCATAGTCTGAAAACTACATAACTAAAACACAGTGTAGTCTAGCAAGGGCATATTTGTGATACAAACATAGCCAATGACTCAGTACTAGAATATCACAGACGGCATGCACACAGTCATTACTGACTTTCAAAAAGCAAATCTGTCTTCCAGAGAATAGAGTTCTTTACCAATGAAGGAACAAACCCTGAGTTGACCTGAATGCTTGTGAGAATCTGAGGGAAGGACTCTCACATAGAAGAGATGTGCCCATCATCCCTGGATTAAAAGAAGAGCTACATTTCCCCCAAAACAGTTGTGTAAAATCATGGATGCTTCCAGTCTACTCCATTAAGGTTTCTCTGTGTTAGCTATTATAGCTGATCCGCAAATCCCAGAGTTATGCCAGAAATCAGTGTTCCTCTGTCTCAATCCCCACCCCCATGAATCTCAGCAAAGAGTCCATGGGATTCTCCAGGCAAGAATACTGGGGTGGGTTGCCATTACCCCTCCCTTATTCCAACCATAAATTCTGACAGGAAAACACTCTACCAAAACAAAGATCTTCTAAACTTAGTAACTCTAAATCTCTGGTAGGGGAAGGAAGAGGTTGAAATACCTACTAGTCTATGAGGACACTTAGATGACTAGATCTCCTTCAGTTTCCTATGTCTGATTCCTGGCTTCTGGGAACTTGGCAAATTCTGTGTACGTGTTTGTGTGTGCATTTTAAAATTGTTTCCTTTAAATAGGGAAAGTGAAGAGAGCTTCAAAACCCTTGTCTGCAACTTGCTTCTTCCAAAGGTGGTCCATGGATCCCTCATAACCTTCCAACTAACTTGGATTTGGTTTCAAGTGGTTTAAAGCAAAAAGAATATAGGATGAATATAAAACAAAACTTCAAACACAATGGAATAGAAAAAAATCCTGCAAAACAGAACACTTTCTTAGCCACTGCTTTTATTTTCAAACTCATGGTCTTCCCCAGGAGTTATCTGCTCAGCCTATAAGACAGGCTTTGTAAAGCAACTGTGTGCTACAGAACCCTCTCTTTTCTGCCTAGAGTTTTAATTTGGGTCTGAACAAATGTTGGAGTCCACATAATCTCCTGGCACTTGTAATTTTGCTGTCTTGCAGAGAAAGTTCCTTATTAGGTACTGTAACCCTGAGGCTTTGGGATAATTTATTTTCCCTTTCTTTCAGTCTATAAAAGTGAGTCAGTGTTTTACTAAGCCGGTCTTGTACATATTTTACACGTACATGTAGTTAACAAGTATCTGTTCAATGGAATCTTAGAAACTAAGTCCTATGTTCTTTTATAAACAAAGTTTATTTGTTTTAAAATTGGGAGCATGAGTGAGATAATAGAAAGAGTGATGACTATTGGGGAGCTTGAACACCCCTATGCTATTCTAAGCTGGACTTCTAAATTATCTGTACTTGGGCTTCCCGGGTGGTGCTAGTGGTAAAGAGCCCACCTGCCAATGCAGGAGACATAAAAGACTCGGGTTCGACCCCGGGTTGGGAAGATCCCATGAAGGAGGAACTGGCGACCCACTCCAGTACTCTTGCCTGGAGAATCCCATGGACAGAGGAGCCTGGTGGGCTCCGGTCCATGGCGTCGCAGAGTCAGCCGCGA